GCTTGTTTTTTGCCTAGAGGCAAAAAACTTACTATCACGAGCTCAGTGTGGTTTCCTCGAAAACCGCTCCACCCTCGATCATCTTGTGTCTCTGGAGATGGAGGTTCGCTCGGCCTTTGTGAGGCGTGAACATCTGGTGGCAGTTTTCTTCGATCTTGCTAAGGCATATGATACAACATGGAGGCATGGTATTCTTAGCAACCTGGTGTCAATGGGTTTTAATGGTAACATGATGGTGTTCATTAAGAACTTCTTAACAGATCGCACTTTTCAGGTGCGCCGGGGAGCTGTTTTTTCTGACGAGTTTATGCAGGAAACGGGCGTTCCCCAGGGCTGCATTTTAAGTGTCACATTATTTTTGGTTCAGATAAATTCACTCTCCCGTGAAATTTCTCGCCCCATCGAACACTCTTTATATGCCGATGACCTTAAAATTTCTATCAGGACTTCATCTCTGCGAGTTGCCGAGCGACAACTCTAGCTCTGCATAAACAAACTGGGCAAGTGGTGTTTTCGAAACGGATTTCAGTTCTCGGCAGAAAAAAGTGCCATTGTACATTTCACGCGGAAACGTGGACTGTACCCCAATCCCGAACTGTCACTAAATGGTACACAACTTACTTGTAAGGACTCTCAAAAATTTCTTGGAGTCATTTTTGACCGAAAACTGACATTTGGAGAGCATATTGCCTATCTTCGCAAAAACTGCCTAAAAAAACTAAATATTCTTAAAGTGCTTGCACACAAATCTTGGGGAGGACACGTGGAGTCTCTTCTGCATATTTACCGGGCTACAGTGCGTTCAAAACTGGATTATGGTAGCTTTGTTTATGGATCGGCTAGACAAAGCACAATTCGACAGCTTGATCCTGTTCATCACCAGGCATTTCGTTTGTGCACGGGAGCTTTTCGAACATCACCAGTGGAGAGCCTATACATAACAGCCCATGAACAGCCCCTATGTCTTAGGAGAGAATTGCTAGGTCTATTTTATGCAGGTAGAATTTCAATGTACAAGGACAATCCAGCCTACACTCATGTCCTAGCCCCATCTTTCACTGAGCTGTTTGCTCGACGCCCATCAGTCGCCCAACCATTTGGAATTCGTGTGCAGCAAGTTTTGTCGGACACTAGGTTTTCAATAAGCAAGGTTTCAACTTTTCGTCCACCACTCCCCCCGTAGTATGACCCAAGCATTTCCTGTGATCTGCGGTTAACTAAATTCCAAAAACCATGTACGGCGCCTCTGGTGTACCAACAGTGTTTTTTAGAAATTCTTAAAGAGTTCAAGGACTACCGGGCATTTTACACTGATGGTTCTAAAATGGGCGATGCTGTTGGAGCGGCCTTTGTTTCTGGGACCACCAGAAATGCTTTCCAGTTGTCTCCAATAGCATCTGTCTTCACATCTGAATTATATGCAATTATTGCTTCGCTTAAGCACATCAGAAAGTCCCGGATCAAGAAATCACTGATATGCTCCGACTCTTTAAGTGCACTTATGTCCATCTGTGCTATAGAGCCTAAGAAACACCCGTTGATTGTAGATATTCATACGCTGTTACGAGAAATCGAGTCAATAGGCGGACATGTTCGGTTCCTCTGGGTTCCAGGGCATAGTGGCATCACTGGAAATGAGCTTGCCGACAAAACTGCCCGACAAGGTCCGTTCGAAGACAACACAGATGCCTTTGCCCTTAAGTGACATTCGCCGTGTGATGTCCAAGAGTGTCGCGACAAAATGGTTGCGGCAATGGAAGAAATGTGAAGGTAACAAGCTTCATACCCTTCACCCTACTACAGATAAATTTCAAGACCATCATCACCTCTCGCGTCATGACAGTGTATTGTTAACACGACTGCGCATTGGACATAGACGCTTAACACACTCACATCTCTTAATGGGCAATGAACCTCCTACCTGCGAAATATGACTCAGACCTTACAGTAATGCATCTGTTTGTTTGCAGGAAGCTGGAACCTTTCCTTAAACCACTTTTAGCACCACTAAGAAGGTTAAACATTCCATTTCATCCGTGTTTGGTGTTAGGTCCTTAACCTCAGATTCCACTCAGACTTATTCACGTTCCTTCAAAAAAGTGGCCTCAAGTCACTTCTCTAGTATACATGAATTTTTGGAGCCCTTTACACTCTATAGGCCTTATTACCCATTTGTATATTAGCTAAACATAGCACATTAGTTTTACCCATAAGCACTAACATACTACATATTAAATCAGCTAAACAGGATCTTGGCGCTATTTGGCCCTCGTGTTGCCCTTGCGCCATAAAACACCAACAAACAAACAACAAGTCTTCACACCAAAAACCTTTTCTAGCTTATTGCATGCAAGTAGAAAGACAACCACTGCCAATAAAACTCAGTAGCGAGGAACCTTACAACAAACCTTTATCTTTTCAAGAGCTGGAGCTATCGACCCTGCATTGCCGGAATTCTGCAGTTGGCTTAGACAACATACACTATAAAATGATTGCTAACTAATCCCACGATTCCAAACTTGCTCTTCTGAAGTTCTATAACAGAATATGGGAAACGGGGGTGTTCCCAACATCCTGGAGGAAAGCAGTCGTTATAACCATTCCAAAGCCAGGCAAAGATCACACAAATCCTCAGAACTACAGACCAATAGCTCTCACCAGCTGCCTCTGCAAGGTGCTGGAACGTATGATAAATTCAAGGCTTGTTTTTTGCCTAGAGGAAAAAAACTTACTATCACGAGCTCAGTGTGGTTTCTGCAAAAACCGCTCCACCCTCGATCATCTTGTGTCTCTGGAGATGGAGGTTCGCTCGGCCTTTGTGAGGCGTGAACATCTGGTGGCAGTTTTCTTCGATCTTGCTAAGGCATATGATACAACATGGAGGCATGGTATTCTTAGTAACCTGGTGTCAATGGGTTTTAATGGTAACATGATGGTGTTCATTAAGAACTTCTTAACAGATCGCACTTTTCAGGTGCGCCGGGGAGCTGTTCTTTCTGACTAGTTTATGCAGGAAACGGGCATGACTTTGTTGCCCGTTCGTCCACGTCCCCTATCCAGCTTCCCTCCTCTGCCGACTTGCCTCCAGGGGAAATGGAAATCGTCGCCGCAGTCGTCATCGCGCAGATCCTCTCGAGGATCTGCGCGATGGGGGTCGAGAGGGGTAGGCCCGGAGCCTGCTGGCGCAGACTCCGCCGGGACAGTGAGGGGCCGGGGGGCGATATCTCTCCCCCTCCCATCCCCCGGGCAAGATGAAGATCTTGGGTGGGCACGGATGCCATCCTTGCCGCCCGGTGCGGGGGAGCCGGCCGGGAGGGACAACCTATTGTCCCTCACCGCCGCGATTATATGAGCCGAGGCCGTGGTTTCTCTGCCCCCCCCCCCTCCGGTTTGGTCCGTCATCTCGGCAGCAGCGGTCCTGATGGGCCGCAGGCTGTCGGTCACAGTGCCTTGGGTGGCCCTCGGGGGGCTTTTCTGGGGGTACGCGGCCCGAGTCCACGCCCCGACTCCGTCACAGCGGCACCCGAGAAATGCGCACAGGTTCTCGTGGACCTCGATCTGGCTGAGGGCCTGGACCGGCACCTGGTCCCGGAGGGCAAGGGCCCGGTCAGGGACAGTGGTGTTCTGTTGCCTAGAGAATCCCTTTGTCTCCTGGCGAACGTGGGCCGCTACCAGCTGGCAAGCCCGAATTGCTGGCGAGATGTTTGGGTCGACGCGGTCCTCCTGCTCCCTGGTCATCGACGTGGGCCCTGGGTCCTGTTCACCGTGTGCCTCAAATTGCTCCAACAGTACCTCCGTCATTGGCAACACCAAATCAACCGACCAACCAACCAGTCATCCTCATTATTATCATTTTGCTTTGTTTCTGTCATATAAAGCGCCTCGCGGTCTGGGATGCGTGTGGGGAGAAAAAGAAGAAGACGAGTTGTGTGCAGGAGCGAGGGATAAACCCGACGGTGTTCTAGTTCCTCTTGTCTTGGCTCTTCTTTCCATAGCCCTCGGTAACACGACATGGTGGCAGCGGTGGGATTTGGCAACCGGTAAATATCGTCTCCGAGGAAGCTAGAAGCACCACAGGAGGAGACCTGACGAGAACAGCGAAATCTTCCACCTGGCCGGCTCCATGAACGGGAACAGTGACGGCTCCGGCAGTTCTACCTCCCAGGCGAGCAGCTCCCAAGTGAGCAGCGGTCCTTCTTTCTTCAATCCCTTCGCGGTCGAGCTCCCTGAAAAGTTGGATTTCAGGGATCCCCACGACTGGAAAAGATGGAGCACCCGCTGGGAAGGATACCGGATCATTTCCGGACTTCATCAACGGGACGCCACGACACAGGTAAACACATTCCTGTACGCCATGGGGAGAGAAGCGGAAGACATTCTCACGTCACTCCATCTGTCGGAGGCAGAGCTAAATGACTACGGCGTAGTGAAGAGCAAGTTTGAACTCCACTTCATTCCGCGCGTAAACGTCATCTTTGAAAGAGCGAAATTTAACATGAGGAAGCAAGAACCACACGAGACAGTGGAGGCCTTCATCACGGCCTTACACACTTTAGCGGACTCCTGCGACTATGGACTACTTCGCGAGGAGCTGATCCGTGATCGTATCGTCGTAAGTCTCCAGGACAGGAAGCTGAGCGAAAAGCTCCAGCTCGACGCCAAGCTCACGCTTCAAAGTGCGACAGCGTCAGCACGTTCTTTCGAGACAGTGAAACGACCGCAAGCGGAGCTTCACAGCGATAAGACGGAGTCCAGGGAAATCGAGGAGCTCCGAAACAGATACCCAAAAGATAACAGCAAGAAAAAAGACAGACGCGCTCGGGGTACATCTAATCGTCAAGGAGATTCTAATAGTGCGGCGTGGAAATGCCGATGGTGTGGCAGTTTGTGCAAACATGAAAAAACACAATGCGCCGCAAGAGACAAGAAATGCAACGCTTGCAAGAAGGTAGACACTTTGAGAGCGTATGCTTCTCCAAGCTTGCATCTGGGTCTCACAGGTCACAAGTGCACAAACCAGGTCTCAACGAAGTGTTCCTGGGTGCACTGGTACACGCAGATAACGGAGATCCCTGGTACATCAAGGCGAAAGTCAACAACCAGGAGGTCACATTCAAGGTGGACACTGGGGCGGACGTTACCGCCATTCCTCATACCGAGTACAAGGTCGGAGAGGTGGCAAAGCTAGAGCCTGCCGGAGAAGATCTTCGGGGGGCAGGAGATTCGCCGTTGACAACACTCGGGAAGTTCCAGGCGACGATAACTTGGAACGGCAGAACAACGAGAGAAACTGTCTACGTATCGGAAAGACTCCGACATCCTTTACTCTGTCTCCCGGCGATTCAGGCTCTGCAAGTGCTGCCAAGCCTGAATGAAATCAAGGCTGACAATCATCTGGAGCATGATCGCGTACTTGCCAAGTACCCGTCTCTATTTCAAGGACTGGGGAAGATTAAGGTACTTTATACGATCTCCGTTCACCCAGATGCGAAGCCTTTCGCCATCACGTACCCACGACGAGTGCCCATCGCACTTCTGCCCAGTGTAGAGCTGGAATTGAAAAGAATGCAAGAGATGGACGTCATCGAGAAAGTGGAACATGCCACAGTCTGGTGCTCACCCATGGTGGTGGCCAAGAAGCAAGATGGAGCTCTCCGGATCTGTGTGGACTATACACAGTTAAACCAACAGATTATACGGGAACGAATCATCATGCCGACGGTGGAGGAAAACCTAGCCAAACTCGCGGGAGCGACTGTCTTCAGCAAGCTGGATGCGAATGCAGGATATTGGCAGGCACCACTGGCTCCAGAGTCAAGAGAGCTGACGACATTTATTACACCAGTGGGACGGTTCCAGTTCAAGCGACTCCCGTTCGGGATATCAACAGCGCCAGAATTCTTTCAGCGTGAAATGCTGCAGATCCTCGAAGGAATCGAGGGCCAAGTGTGTCACATGGATGACATTTTAATTTTTGGTCGAAACAAGCCTGAACATGACCGAAATCTTGAACTTACACTCCGCCGCCTTCTTGAAGCTGGAGTGACCTTACACACGAGCAAGTGCGAGTTTGGCAAAAGCAGCATCAAGTTTCTAGGACACATAATAGACGGAAGAGGTATTGCGCCTGACCCCAAGAAAACTGAAGCCATGGCCAAGATAGAAGCTCCCGCAAACTTGGTTGAGCTACGGTTATTTCTGGGGATGGTGAACCACCTCGGAAAATTTCTACCGAACATGGCGGAAGAAACCAAGCCGCTCCTAGATCTTCTGAAAGGAGATGCAAGTTGGCTCTGGAGTGAAACCCAAGAACAAGCATTTCAAAGGATCAAATACTTGTTGGGCAAGACTCCAATCCTCACGTTCTACGACCCAAACGTGCACCGGACACTATCAGCTGATGCTTCATCGTATGGACTTGGAGCGGTGCTACTCCAGGAGGATGAGGACGGCATCAGGCGTCCAGTAGCGTACGCTTCGAGAGCACTGACTCCGACGGAGCAGAAGTATGCGCAAGTCGAAAAAGAAGCATTGGCGATCGTTTGGGCTTGCGAACATTTCCGCACCTACTTGGTAGGTCAGGGGTTTCATGTCGAGACGGACCATAAGCTATTGGTACCGTTGTTGTCAACAAAACGTCTAGACGAGATGACGCCAAGATTACAGCGGTTGCGAATGCGCATTTTTTAATACGACTTTACGATATCACATGTCCCGGGCAAGCATATGTACACAGCAGATGTGCTGTCCAGGAAACCTCTACGAATGATGGAACACCCGATAGACTCTACGGAAGCGCTAGTCCGAGAGTATGAAATGCTCACGGTCGACCTACTCCCGACGTCAGTTTCATTTTTGGATAGATTGAGGTCCGAACTAAAGAAAGACCCATGCACGGCAAGGGTAATGACGTACTGTGAAAAAGAGTGGCCGGGGAGAGAAACGCTTCCTACGGATATGAAGGGATTTGCTAGCCTGTCTGCAGAGCTGAGCATTACACAAGGCCTACTAATACGCAATGATAGGCTTGTTATCCCACGGAGCCTCCAAAAAGAAGTACTAGAGCGACTTCACTGTGGACATCAGGGGGTCGTTCGGTGCAGAGCACGAGCAAGAGATTCTGCGTGGTGGCCCGGAATCAGCAAACAGATACAGGACTACGTCAGCCGGTGTAAAACTTGTATTCAGCATCGACGGCCACCCACAGAGCCTCTGCTTCAGACTCCTTTACCCGATCGCCCGGGGCAGGAACTAGGAACAGACATTTTCGAGCTCAGTGGAAAGAAGTACATAGTAGTCATCAACTACTACTCGAAGTTCATAGAGCTGGAAGAACTTTCACGAACTAACACAGAAGTCATAACAAAAGTGTTCAGCCAGATATTTGCGAGACATGGATGCCCAGAAGTGCTACACTCAGATAATGGCCCTCCGTTTCGATCGAACGACTTTTGGCGGTTTGCAAACGAATGGGGAGTCAAATTGGTGACTTCGAGCCCTTACTACGCTCAAAGTAATGGAGAGGCTGAGCGAGCTGTACAAACAGCCAAACATCTTCTGAGCAAATCCCCCAATGTAGCACAGGCTCTTCTAGCCCACAGAACAACTCCAGGCCCAGAAGGTCTCTCTCCAGCGGAACTCCTCATGGGGAGGAAGTTACGTTCAACTGTTCCAACAGCGCCAAATACACTGACGCCTCGGTGGCACCACGTACACAAGTATAGGCGACAGTACGGCAAACGAAAAACAAGAGAAGCCTTGCACTACAATTGACGCCATCGTACAAGAGATCGCAGTACGATACCTCCTCACTCAGAGGTGTGGATACGCGCGGGCGCAGCTTCTCAAGGAAGGATACACCGCCAGACGGAAATGCCGCAGTCATACGTGGTGGAAACAAGTGAAGGCACAGTGAGACGCACAAGCCGTCATCTGCAGCCCGCGTTTTTGGAAGTAGACAACCAGACGGTCGGGCAGCAGCAGCCTGCGACTTCGAAAGTACACAACCGGACAGTCAGGCAACAAAGCACTGAAACCTCCGCAACTGTAACAAGGAGCGGCAGGGTATCGCGCCTACCAGACCGCTACGGACAGTAATGCTTCGAAAGGGGGAGGTGTCATATAAAGCGCCTCGCGGTCTGGGATGCGTGTGGGGAGAAAAGGAAGAAGACGAGTTGTGTGCAGGAGCGAGGGATAAACCCGACGGTGTTCTAGTTCCTTTTGTTTTGGCTCTTCTTTACATAGCCCTCGGTAACACGACAGTTTCCTTTCACTCGCGTCACCAGTCGCCATTTTGTACTCGTGGATTTGCGCCTTTTCATTCCTCGCATCCCCCGCAGGGGGCACCTGTGAAAGCAGGTGTTTGGAGAGTGGCGTCTCCACGGACCCCGAGCTCCGCAGGGGGCGCCTGCACCTTAGGTGCTAGGTGCTTGGTGAGTAGCGTCACCACGGACCCTAGCCACTTTGGCGACACCACAGACCCTGAGTAAAAGTGGCTAAGACCCACCCACGTCTGGCTGTGTGTGGCGAGCCCGTGTCCAGGGAAAAGGGCATCCTGGTGGTTGAGCTGAGCCCGGGGTAGGTTTGGACCCTTCGGGGCCCCCCGGGCGAGGCAACACACCACTTTGGCCCCTGCTTCCTGTAGACGGGTGTCCTGGCTTGGCCCGACCAGGATGATTCAGTCAGTCGCCATTTCTTCTACTATCCCCTCTTTTCTTTCTCTTTCCTCCTTTCTCCTATTCTTCGTTTTCACCTTCTTTGGCGGCAAGGGCTAACCTTGGGTGGCGACAGAACACTCTCTTGATCCACACTTGGTTATAGCTTCCTAGTAGCACTGGTAGAGTAACATACTCAGACAAGCCAGACCTGTTATGAGATGTTACCTGTCCCCTTGTTGGACTCCGCGGTGGGTGGTGCGCTACGGATGCCGAAGTTTCTGCCCTTCATATGGGTTCCAAGCAAAAAACCCCCCCCAATCGGACCCTGAAAAGGGTCCGGACCGAAGTATTTAGCAAAGAGACATCAGTTGCTGCCCAGAATAGCTTCAGCCGCTTTCTGGTAATGCACTCAGAAAATGGAAAACCACTTGCCAAACTTTCACCGTTTTTTATTTCAAAGACTTTAGAAAACCTAATTGGTAAAAACTTCAAAACAAAGAAACTAGCATCTGGCGACTTGCTCGTTGAGGTGGAAAACGGAGTGCAAAGTGTTGTTCTTTTAGACTTAAACAAGATCTCTGATTACAAAGTATCTGTCACCCCACATCGCACCTTGAACAGCTGCCAGGGCGTCATCTCAGAGGACGACCTGCTGGAGTCTAGCGAAGAGGAGATCTTGGAGGGCCTTTCCGGGCAGGGTGTGGTCGCCATGCGACGCATCTTCATACGCAGAGACGGACAGGAGAGACCATCGAAGCACTTAGTCCTCACTTTTGCTTCCACTGTGCTGCCCGAGAACATCAAGGCAGGCTATCTTCACTGCAAGGTGCGCCCCTACATACCAAACCCGAGACGATGTTTCAAATGCCAACGATTTGGTCACAGCTCTGTTATCTGTCGTGGGAAAACGACATGTGCAAAGTGCGGAGCTACGGACCATCCAGCTGACACATGCGAGGGTACACTTGTCAAGTGTGTCAACTGCTCTGGTGCCCATCCCACTTACTCTCGAGCCTGCCCAAAGTTTCAGGAGGAAAAGAAAATCCTAACACTAAAAATCAAAGAAAACCTCACGTACCCTGAAGCAAGGAAGCGATTTTTCTTCCTCCAAGGAGGCACCTATGCCGAGGCGGCTGCCAGGGGGGCAGCGCCGCCACTAAAGGCAACGGTGGGCACTCAGTACAGTCTTCGCGACTTGGAGAGCTCACCCAGCCCCCCAACCGCCAGCGAGGCCTCTGTGGGTTCTCAGACCCCAGCGGCCCTGCCCAAAGCCCCACGTGCCAGGATGGTTCCCCATCGTCCTGGCCCTAAGCCCCGAGTGGTGCTTGACACCACTCCCTTTCAGAGCAGCGAGGGGCCCACTCCTTCCACTTCACAGCGGGAGGAGGAGGCCATGGAGGTATCTGTTGATCCGACAGAACCACCTCCACCCGCCAAGGGAGGGACAAAGCATACCCCCGAAAAGGGGGACCAAAAGAAAAAACCTGCTCGAGTCACTGCCCCGAGTGTACCATAGCTTGTGTCCACTCACAGCTGTGAACCCCACAATTTTAACTATAATTTAATTAATCTGTGATGAGTCATTTTAGTTTCATGCAGTGGAACTGTCGGGGTCTCCTTAAAAATATAGATGATGTTCACTTTTTACTTAATTTCATTTCATTTCATTTATTTGTACCTCACAAGCGCCCCAAGGGGGCATACATGAGGGGGGAAATTCAACAGTATACAAGGAAAACAGAACAGTGAAAATATGAACACACATCATGCAAAAATAACAATATAATGAAAACACGTGGAAAACATACATTTCAATTTACGCAGTATTGAGCACACGCATTTTTAAATTCGTCGACATTTGCTAAAGTTACAATGTTGGCTGGAAGTTTGTTCCAGTCGGAAATTGCCAACTGTAGAGGTGACGTCTGGAAAAGTTTAGTATGTGATGTTTGTAGTAATACCTTATGCTGATGGTCAAATCGAGGAAAAATACGGTGTGGCGGCTTTAATAGTTTAAGCTTGAGGAGTGGGTTATTATAATAGATGTTATGGACGAAGGTTAGCCTAGAAAGTTTTCTTCTGATAGAGAGGAGTGGCAAGTCAGCTTTTTCTTTCAGTTGAGATACGCTGGAGTGTCGAGAGTAATCTTTGTAAATAAATCTGCTTGCCCTATTCTGAATTGACTCTATTTGTTGAATAAGGTAGTCTTGACAAGGATTCCATATGATAGAGGCATACTCTAATTGAGACCGAACATATGACTTGTAAGCGAGTAAACGAACGTCCGGAGGTGCCAGATATAAATTTCGTCTTAGAAAACCTAATGACCTACTAGCCTTGCTAGCCACATAATTTACATGGTCCTGCCAGTGTAGGTTCTCGCTCAAAATAACTCCTAGATATTTGTACTTATTTACTTTCTCAATTGATAAATGTCCTATTGAGTAGTTGAAACTTACAGTGGATTTTTTTGTGGAGAAGCTCATAAATTTAGATTTTGAGGTATTGATGTTCATTTGCCAGCGGTCGCACCATAAAGAGAGGGCGTCTAAGTCATGCTGTAGTGAGAGACAGTCGGTCTGGTTTTTTACAGTTCTATAAATAACGCAGTCGTCTGCAAAGAGTCTGACTGTAGAGGAAATGCTAGTGGCAATATCATTAATATAGATAAGGAATAACAAGGGGCCCAAAACCGATCCCTGAGGAACTCCAGACTTCACATTAATACTAGAAGAAACATTACAATGAAAAGAAACTGCCTGTGTTCTGTTGGTCAAAAATTCCCGAATCCAGTTAATTAAAGAACTATCAATATTAAGACACTCGAGTTTTTTAAGTAGGCGTTTATGTGGCACGCGGTCGAACGCCTTAGAAAAATCAATAAAAATAGTGTCAGTTTGAAAGCGCGAATGTATGTTTGTGTGTAGATCTGTTAATAATTCAAAAAGTTGGGTTTCGCAAGACCGGTTCTTCTGAAAGCCATGCTGATTTATGAAAATGAAACCATTGTCTACAAGAAAGTTCATTATATGAGTGTACAGAACATGCTCAAGAATCTTGCATGGGACACTGGTGAGAGATATCGGTCGATAATTACAAAACAACGATTTACTACCAGATTTGTAAACTGGAGTGACGATTGCATGTTTCCAGTCATGCGGTATAATGCTCTGGTCTAAGGATTGTTGATAAAGCTGTGCAAGAAGAAGCCCGGCATATGGCTGTGTAAGTTTTAGTAGCTTGGAACTGATGCCGTCGGCACCAGGAGAAGACTGGAGGGGCAGGTTTTGTATTATATTGTTAATACCATCCGGGTCAATTTTAATCTTCGATAATAAAGAATGGTTGTGTGCCAAATCACACTGGGGCAGCGGGTAAGACTCTTCGGTAAAAACATCTCCGAAGTACTCATTAAATTTGTTTGCGCACTCCGTTGGTGACATTACATTTCCATGCTGGTCTAAGAAACAATTAGGAATTGTGTCTTTAGGTGGGCTAATTATTTTCCAAAATTTCTTGGGATTTTTTTGCATCAAGTTTTTTAGACCATTGCCGTAAAAGTTGGATTTTGCAACCTTGGTTTCACGTTTGCACAGCTTAGCCTGAGTATCGTACTGAGACCATAATTCGTCAGTATCCCGAGATTGTGCCTTTTTGAAGAGACGTCTTTTGGTGTTCAGCATTTTTTCAGGGATTTCGTGAACCACGGCTTTTCCGATGCATCAGGTATAGTAATTTTTGGAACAAATGTAGCAAGTATGTCTTTAAGCTTATTTTTTATCCTTTGCCAATTCTCTTCTACTGACCTAGAAAAGAAATCGCAGTTAAATTCGCCAATAAAAGTTTCTAAAACACTGTTTATGCCATCAATGTTTGCCTTAGAGAAGTCGTGAATTTCCTTGGACTGTAAGGGAGCATTTCTTATAGATATACTGAAGTTAATCAAGACAGCCACGTGGTCACTGATCTTGTCAAGACACGTGACCTTTTTTAAATATTCTGGCACAGAAGTGAACAATAAATCTAAAATTGCATCGTCCCGAGTGGGTTTAAGTACTACTTGGGTCAGGCAAAATGATTGCGAGATGTTTAGAAAGGCGGATGTAAGCGAATTGTTGCGACATTCGTCAGACACATTAACAGTGGTCCATTCAATCCCGGGAAAGTTAAAGTCACCTCCAAGAAAAACAGGCAAGCTTGGATAACGAGAGGTAACATTTCCAATAGAGGTATACAGGTCATCAACGAAATCAGACAAAGAGTTCGGCGGTCAATAGCATGCACCTACTAAAATGAAAGAGGAAGCAACCTTTACACGCACCCAGATTATTTCAATGTTGTCATCCATTAGAATGGGAACAGCGGGCAAATTTCTTTTGACAGCAATAAGGACTCCACCGTCACGTGACTGTATCCTATCTTTTCTAAAAATCGCAAAGTCATGGTTGAGTACTAACTCATTATTCAGTATATTATCAGAAAGCCAAGTCTCCGTTCCTAACACGACGTCGGGGTTGCACATTGCAATTGTATCAGCGAGAGCATCTTGTTTAGATAGTATGCTCCGAAAGTTGGCAAGAAAAAAGGACAAATCATGAGACGTACTCTTTTTCTTTTTTAGTCAGTTTGTAATTCGGCTTGGAATAGACCGTTGCGACTCAACAACGGTGTCTGTTTGGGTATCGTACAAAAACACCTTGTCATTCATAAAAAGTTTATCAAACACTAGACGCACGCGTGATTGGGGACTACGATGCGTTTTTGCGTAATCCCAAAGCTTTCTGCGTGCTTCACGGATCAATGGCGAGTGGTCTTCCTCAATCCATACCTTAGTAGATTCTAGGTTTTTCAACTTGTGTGCGTTTTCAAGAATCGATTGCTTACTTTTGAAGCTAAGAAATCTTACAATGATGGGGCGGGGGAAGTTTGCGTTCTTTCTACCTGCCCGATGGGCTCTTTCAATTACACCTGCCTCTATATCTAAGTGTTCTTTGACAAAGCAAGTTATTATTTCTTCAGATCTGGCCCAGGTTTCCCTGGGTTCCTCTGGAATGCCTTTGAATACAAGATTATTCCGGCGGATACGGTTATCAAGAGCGTTGAGGTCGCTCGCAAGGTTTAGTGTAGTTTCAGTGTTTAACGATATTGATTCGACTTTTTCTTCCAGCAAGCGGAGGTCTTGAGAGACTCTAGTAACTTCTTCATTAGTTCCCGACAATTCCTCAACCTTTCTTTCAAGACTCGTGACCCTTTCGCTTAATTCACCGACCCCTATTGTGATCGCGCTAAGCTTTGACAGACTTTCTTGGTGGTTTAACTCAGTCTTTAGGAGGAGAGCTTCCAGCTTCTCTTGCAACGTAGCGAGAGTTGGCTGGTCGGGAGCATTCTTGGGGCCGGGGTTCATTTCTACGTCTCTGGACAAAATGAGGAGTGAGCATACCAACGCGAGTGCAAACACAACTCTGATCGACGGAACAACAGCAAGAACTCGCGGACAGAATAAAAAACGTTTCAACTTTACACATTTGCGGGTGCTAGAAGGGAGGAAACATCCTATTCTTTCTCGATAAACACAAACATCGACACCCATGATTTGCCAACACGCACTGTACAAACAAAAGTAGACACGCACTGTACAAACAAGAGTACAAAAGTAGAAGTAGAACAAAGTAGAACAGAAAGTAGAATGAGCTACGCCCAATCGCTTTAGCATTACAGGAGACCTATTTGACGTCCACACATACCCAAGTTTTACGAAACTATCACCTCTTCCGGAAAGACCGCCCATCTTCTCATTCATCCGGTGGTGTTGCCATTGTTGTGCAGAGTGGAGTGGCATGTGCCCAGGTCCCCCTTGACACGCCCCTTGAGGCTGTGGCAGCATGAGTTCTTACGGACCGCCTCATTACTGTTGTCTCTCTGTACCTTCCACCACACACCCCCGTACATATTCATGACCTCCAGAAGCTTTTAACTCAACTTCCACAACCTGTTTTAATCTTAGGTGATTTTAATGCTCATCACACCATATGGGGCAGTGCACGAGTTGATTCCCGCGGAAAAGTGATTGAACAGTTTTTATTGTCTTCAAATTTATATCTTTTAAATAACAAAGCCCCAACCTTTTTTAGTGCTGCACACAACTCTTTCACCTGCATAGATTTATCTATTTTATCACCATCATTGCTTCCTTGCTTTTCTTGGAAGGTTTTAGATAATCCATTTGGCAGCGACCATTTTCCAGTCGTTTTAGAGAGTGTGGTCGATCTCCCCACACTACAAAAGCCTAGATGGAAACTTGACAAGGCGGACTGGGAACGTTTCAGCCTACCTGCTACACTTGATGCTTCACTATTGGCCACCCTGTCCCCTGATGAGGCTACAACATATGTTACTCAACAGATTGTCAATGCAGCTGAGCACTCTATCCCACGTACCTCCGGTAATTTGCCAAAAAAGCGCAAGCCATGGTGGAACAAAGACTGTTCAACCACACTTACAAGACAAAATAGAGCCTGGGATGTCTTTCGTAGGTACCCCACCGTGGACAACAAAATTGAATTTAAGAGACGAAAAGCGCAAGCTCGCTGGACAAGAAAGCAGGCAAAAAAGAAATCTTGGATGAAATATCTCTCTTCTATAAGTAGTTTTGTTATGGCTAAAGAGGTTTGGGATCGTGTACGCAAAATCAAAGGTGACTACCGGGCTTTTACCATTCCAGTATTTAATCTGCCTTTGGGGTCAGTCAAAGACGTTGCTAATGTTCTTGCGAAGCATTTTCATAGTGTATCTACCGTATTTATTCGAATATAGGTCGACCTTTTTTTTTCGGAAATGTTGTCAAAAATTGAGGGTCGACCTATAATCGTGACCAAAGAATTTCGACCTAATTCGCCGACCAAAATTTGAAACCCTACCGAAGGTATGAAGCTATCAATCACCTAGCCGGCGTTGCGGTAGAGCCGCGCGGCTTCTTGTTTCAAAAAGCTTTTGATGCACAAAAACAACCGAACAGCAGCAGCCGACAGCCCGCGGCCGCCGGCTAGGGCTCTCGCGCACATTCCTCGGGCTTCGGTTTCGCCATCACGCCTGTAGCGTTCCCCCTGCTGGGCAAGGGGGAAGGGGAGGGAGAGGAACGCGATGCGCCGTGCACTTTGCCCTCCATTCCTCTCTTCCTCGCAAACGCGCAAAAAAAAAAAAAAAAAAATAAAAACAGAGGTACTTTAGTTTTTTTTTTTTTTTTTTCTTTTTCCGGCGGGTCGCGTGTTGCTCACGGGGCTCGCAGCTTTGCTCGTGTCTTAGTATTTGTTCTTTCGTCGCTCGCCCGTCTCCACCTTCTTTCGTTTCTTCTTGTCGTCATTTTACAACGGTGTCAGTGAGGTATTGTTGCCAATTTGCGACGATGTCTACCAAGCTGACGAAGCTTCGGACAACGATATGTGCGGAAGTTCTGACGATGAATAAGTTTTTGACATCGCCCTGTGATTTAGCTGAGAGTGCTGTAAATAAGGGTTTGTTTCTTTTGCCCTAACTTTCCCCTGTTGCTTAAAAGAAAAGAAAGGTCGACCTATAATTGAATTATTTCTTTTTATTCTCGGTGGGCTCAATAAATAGGGGTCGACCTATCTTCGTGGTCGACCTATTTTCGGGTAAATACGGTAGCTCTCATAATTATAGTGCTGAATTTAAACAGTTTAAATCTCGTGCAGAGAGTTGCTCTATTTTTATGGGGGGGTCTAACTCGCAGCCATATAATGGACCCTTTACAATGTGCGAGCTAGAACAAGCTCTCGATGTAAAAAAGATGTCTGCTCCAGGGCCAGACACATTGCACTATGCTATGCTTCGAAAGTTGTCACGTGACTCGCTCAGAACACTCCTTCTTTTTTTCAACTCTGTGGGAGAAGGCATGCTTTCCCCAGGCATGGAAGCGGGCTCACATCATACCACTCCTGAAACATGGCAAAGACGCTACGCTCCCTTCCAATTACCGACCCATTGCACTCACTAGCTGCCTGGGGAAAACATATGAGAAACTGATTAACGGACGGTTAATGTACCTTTTAGAAAAAGAGAATCTTTTTGCAAATAACCAGTGTGGCTTTCGCCGCGGACGATCTGCAGTGGATCACTTAGTCCGCCTGGAAACAATGATCCGTGAAGCTTTTGTGCATAAACAACACTGTGTCTCGGTTTTCTTTGACCTAGAAAAAGCATACGACACCACATGGAGGTATGGAATACTTAAAGACCTTTACAACTATGGTATTCGGGGCCGGATGCTGAAGTGTATAGGAGACTTTTTAACGAATAGGACATTCCAGGTTCGATTGGGCTCTACTTTGTCTGATCCATTTGTTCAAGAAAACGGAGTTCCTCAAGGGGGCATCCTCAGTGTTACCTTGTTTGCAGTCAAGATAAATTCCGTTGCCACAATTCTCCCGTCTTCCATCTCGTACTCACTTTACGTAGACGATCTTCAAATCTCGTGTTCCTCCTGTAACAGTTTTACCTGTGAACGCCAGCTTCAGTTGGCTCTAAAAAAACTTGGTACTTGGGCAGATGAAAATGGATTTAGGTTTTCTCCAGAAAAAACGGTTTGTGTGCCATTCTCCTTGCGCCGTGGGCTGCCTTTGAATCCAGACCTCGAACTCAAAGCCATGCGGTTGCCTGTTAAAAATGAGCACAGGTTTCTGGGTGTGATCTTCGACAGGAAGCTTACTTTTATTTCCCACTTGAAGTGTCTGAAGGAAAAATGCCTTAAAAGTATGAACCTCTTAAAAGTATTCGCTAAGAAGACTTGGGGATCAGATAGAAGATGTCTGCTGCGCCTATACAATTCCCTTGTGCGATCCCGTCTTGATTATGGTGCAATAGTGTATGGATCAGCGCGACAATCAGCTCTGAAAATGTTAGATACAGTGCACCATCTTGGATTACGACTCGCCACGGGCGCTTTCCGTACATCCCCCATTCTGAGTTTATACGCCGAGTCCAACGAGTTGTCGTTGGATAAAAGACGCCAATATCTAAGTATGACATATGCCTACAAAATATTAGCTAACCCTCGCCATCCAACATATGATTCCATAAAACGTTCAAGGTTCTCTCGCCTTTTCGAAAACAAGCCCAGCATTGTACGCCCATTAAGCCTCCGCCTTGCTGACTATCATACCTCTCTTCAGATTTCTCCCGATGGAATGTCCCTTCTCTCACAAGTTGACTGTATTGCTCCCTGGGAGAGACTGCCGGTTTGTTGCGATTGGTCCCTTACGAAATATAATAAGCACTGTGTTACTTCAGTGGTTATACTGCAAGATTTTCAAGAATTGCAGGCAAAGTATGCTGATTATTGTCAGTTTTATACTGACGGTGCTAAGGCTCAATCCTTCACTGGATGTGCCGTATATTCTGAGAACTTTTCTCGAACGAAGCGCCTTAATTCGATCGCCAGTATCTTTACAGCAGAACTGTATGCAGTGATGTTAGCAATTGACCATATTAGACTGAAGAGAAAAGTAAGATTGATTATATATGTGGACTCTCAAAGTGTGATCACTGCATTTAGTTCCCTCAAAGACACCAAAAATATGCTTGTACAGCTTGTGCGTACCAAAATTAATCGTGCATTGCAGAACGGACATCGTATTATACTTTGCTGGGTTCCAAGTCATGTAGGTATATGGGGTAATGAAAAAGCTGATAAGATGGCTTCTTCCTCCAGGAATCTTCGGCAGTTAGCAGCCTCGTTACCTTACCAGGATATCAAACCGGTCGTGAGGGCATCAATCTTCCAGAGATGGCAGACAGAATGGGACGAAGAATCCAACAATAAGCTTCACTTCACCAAGCCCATTCTTGGACTGTGGGAGAGTGCCTCTTTAAAAAATCGATTTCATGAGGTATTGTTATGTCGCCTTCGCATAGGCCATTCCTATATAACCCACAAATATCTCCTCTGTGGAGAAGAACCACCCCGATGTATACACTGCGGGGATGATGTTTCCATCCTACACATTCTATGGCTCTGTTCCGGTCTTGATGAAAAACGACGGCATCATTTTCCTGAATTGTTTAGATATTGTATACCTTTTCACCCTGTTCTGTTATTAGGAAATCACCCTCTTATCCCATTTGAACGAGTGCTCAGTTTTATTTCTAGCACTGGCTTTTTACACCAGCTCTAATACCGATGATAATGACGAACAATGTCCCATTTTATCTAGAATGGGAATGAACTACCTAGTTTGGCGCACTTTGGCCTCAGTAGCATTTTGCGCCATAAAGCCCCCAATCATCATCATCATCGTTCCTCGCATCAGCAGAAAATGAGACTTCGACAACGACTACCGCCCGCAGCCATTGACAGCAGACATTACGAACCCATACAAGGGATGCTGAACCGAAATTTTGGGTGGAAATTCTTGGTCGCAATGGCATACATAGCATGTCTTATACTTCTAAATGACGTTGTTTTGAGCGAGAAGGCGTATAAAATTGAATAAACACGAAAAATACAATTTTACGCGACCCCTGGTGAGCGTCGTGGAAAGCTCGCTTCGTGACGTGCGCATTCTCATTCACCTCAAAAGACAGACGGAGCCAAGCCAAGCCGGGCGCTAAGCCGTGTGGCCTTTGTTATTGTTAGTACCACGCGGGTAGTACCAACCGCTTTGGGAACAGCCGCCGAGCGAAGAATCAAGGCGAGCACCAACGAACGAGGAGAATGCACGGAGGCACCAGGGGCGCTGGGGGCGCCGAGAATGTGCACGTCAGTTCCGCTACGCCTGCTCTCGGAAGGACTCACTCGTGCTGGCGGCTTCCGGCCGAGGATTCGCTCTCAATTCAAAGAAATACAATAATTCGGGCCCCATCCGTCTGATTGAGTGTCGTTTTTAGGTACAGTACCATCCCGTGAAGCTCGCTCGGGCAATAATTATGAGATTTCAAATATCGGTTCAGCATCTCTTTAACATTGCTGTTGAATGTGTACGACAAGAACACGACGTTCGCGCAAATGCAAGCAGACATCATCGCAAGCAGGCGTAACATGAAACAAGCCACTATTGACTGTAGAGGGCGTGTGGGTGCAATGAGCTACGGGGCGCCCTCTAGGGTTTACGTAAAAAGAATGTGCGCGAATAAACGGTCTTTTTCCGTCCGAGCACTCTGAGCGTCAGCTGTGTCACTCTTTCCTCTGCAGCCCTCGGCTCTGGCCGCCACCTCGGCCACCTCAGCTCGAACCCGCCCACTACATGGTTTCAGAAGTGGGATGCCCTGTTCCCGCGGTTCTGCTAAGGACGCTCCGGTTCCTGCCCTTGCTGCCGCCAGTCTCCGCAGTCCGGCCCCGTTCTCCTTCCACGATGCCGGCGAGTGGCTTCCGTGGTTGCAGCAATTCGAAGACTACGCCTTCGCCACCGGCATGCACGTGGCGCCGGACGAGGCACGAATTAGGACCCTCCTCTATTGCATGGGTCCACGGGCACGCATCGTCCTCAGTTCGCTGATGTCCGACGAAGAGGCCTACCAGTCCTCCGCAGAAGTCACCCGCCGGCTCTCCAGCTACTTCGTGCACCCCATAAACGAGACATACGAGAGCTCCCGGTTCTACAAGCGGACGCAACAGCCAGGCGAGACCGTCGACAGCTTCTTCACGGCCCTTCGGAACATGGTGTGCTAGTGTAACTATCCGTCACCAGCCGTTGAAGACCATCTTGATTGCGACCGTTTCGTCATGGGTTTGGCAGATTCTCGTCTCTCAGACAAGCTGTGCCACACTCCGAGCCTCTCCCTGGACGACGCACTGGTGCAAGCCCGTCAGCATGAAGACGCCGAGCAAGAGAAGCAACGCCTGTCCCTCACAGCTGGTCAACCGACAGCGCACGTGGACGTGCCAACTTGACATAAACCCGTGCAGGCGCACACGGAAGGGACCTCAGACGGGACTTTGGCAACTCTGCGTCACGTGACAGGCCCGAAGGTTCTGGAACCAGCAATGTTCGAGAAGCTTCTAGAAGCAGCCAAAGTGCGCAGTGCCTCTTCTGCGGTCACGAGTATCATTGACGGTCCGACTGCCCAGCTGCGAAAGCAGTTTGTAACCACTGCAAGAAGTGAGGCCACTTTTCGTCAGTGTGTCGCTTAAAGAAGCACCTCGGTTTCGTGGAGCTCGACTCCGTTGCGGCGTTAACTCGGAACAGGCGGTACGTTGAGGTCCAGGTCAACAGGCGCCCTCTCGTCTTCGAGTTGAACTCTGGCGCCGACGTTTCGGTGGTTCCGAGCTCGTTTCCTGGCTGCCCAGTCGTCCTCGACTAGCCACGTGGCGAGGAACTTTTCGAACTGGGGAAGCAACCCCTGAAGGTTCTCGGCACCTTCTCTACGGCGCTGTCTTGGCGAGGCAGACACATCAACAAGCGCCTCTACGTCGTTGCTGGACAAGAGCTGCTCCTTCTCGGCTATCCCGCTATCGTCGCCCTTGGCGTTGTCAAGTTTGTCGGCGCAGTCTCAGTGGCCCGGACCGCTGCTCTCCCGGACACACCACCTCGAAAAGTTTCTCCAGCCCTTTCCGTCGGCCTGCGCACGTCGCCGGACGAGTACACGATCCGCATCACATCAAGCCGGACGCGGTGCACAGTCCGGCGTATCCCGATACCCCTACGAGACGTAGTAAAGAAGGAGCTCGACAAGATGGAGCAGGAGGGCGTGATCCGGCGCGTCGACGGACTGGTGTACCGGCCTTGTCGTCGTACCGAAGCTAGCGGGGGGTTACCGCCTTTGCGTCGACTTGACCAAGCTCAACCAAGTTGTTCTGCGTGAGCGCCACATGCTCCTGACCGTCGACCAAACCCTCGGACTTCTCGGCGATGCCTGCGTTTTTCGAAGTTGGACGCAACTGCGGGCTTCCATCAAGTATGTTTGGCCCGGAACTCCCAGAAGTATACAACCTTCATCACTCTGTTTGGCAGGTACTGCTATTGCCGCCTCCCATTCGGCATTACGTCGGCCCCGGAATATTTCCAGCGTCAGATGTCTCGCCTGCTGGAAGGGTTGGCCGGCGTCGTTAACCTCATGGACGACATCCTCGTGTTTGGTAGCACCACGGAAGAGCACGATCAGCGCCTCCAAGCAGTCCTCGGTCGCCTCCAACAAGCGGGGGTCACCCTCAACGCCGCCAAGTGCAGTTTCGGCGTGTCAAGCGTGCAGTTCCTCGGTGTCGTCGTCGCAGCCAACGGCATTGCTCCTGATCCAGACAAGGTGGCGGCCATTCAGTGTATGCCCGCTCCTCGGGACATTCATGGTGTCCAACGCTTTCTGGGTATGCTCAATCATGTCGGTCGCTTGCTCCCGGATCTCTCTCAGACGACTGCACCGATCCGAAGCCTCCTGAGCAAGACTGCAGCCTGGACGTCAGGACCGGCGCAAGCCTCAGCGTTTGAGAAGCTTAAGACTATGGTGTCCTGGGACATCTGCCTCGCAAGGTACAACCCTGCACTCCCGAAGACCGTCTCCGCAGATGCCAGTTCCTTCGGGCTACAGTGCTTCTTCAAGACCAGCCATCAGGGGATCGCAGACCAGTTGCATACGCCTCCCGTGCACTGACAGAAATGGAACAAAGGTACAGCCAGATCGAAAAAGAGGCACTGGCTGCCACCTGGGCCATTAACCGCTTCAACGAGTTTGTGCGGGGTCTTCATTTCACTCTGGAGACTGACCATCAGTCGTTGGTCAAGCTCCTTTGGAACCGCGGACCTTGACCTCATGCCATCCCGGATCCAGCGCTTTCGTATCCACCTCCTCCAGTACCAGTTTGATGTCAAGTATGTGGCTGGGAAACAGTTGGCTACCGCAGATGCACTCTCGCGGAACCCGGTCGACCAGCCACCGACTCCAGCCATATCAACAAGGTTGATGGCTGGAGTAATTTTGCTGATTGTTTCATTGTGTCCTATTTCATTTTACATTTCACAATGTTGAATGTTGAACTAGCTGTTTCATTGTGCCCTCTTTTTTATTTTTTTACTGAGTATGCCATGTTTTGCTGAATGTATTCATTGCGCTGTTGAACTGTTGGGGGGCAGACTCTGTCAGGCTTCACACCTTTATCACTGCCCCTGGGCGGAAAAACCCGCCAAACAAAATAAAAAAAAAAGGACCTTAGTCTTTGGGCTTGCCTGTGTGGGTGAAATTTATGTTCCTCTTGAGATCAGATTTTCTGTCCTTTGAAGATTTGTTTTGAGTTGTTTGCATTGTCCCAAAGTCTCAGTGTACAAGGGCGTCTTCAAACATGTCTTAAGCTGTAGTCCCAGTGCTAATACATCATACAACACAGTCTGCAGACACTGTCTGTGTTAATCGTTTCTTCCTGCTGTTCACATTGTCACACAAAAAATGTCTTCAGACATTTTCGAGACATGCATATGCATAAAGCAAACATGCTTCGAATCTATGCTTGAGGCATGTGTGCAGATAATTCTGTCATCGTGTCTGCTGCAGACACGATAATGTGGTCTATAAGCAGTGAGACTGGGGGCTTAGTGAAGAGGTCCAGGAATTGCAGCCAGAGTTTTGCGAGTGCATCAAGTATGTAGTACTACAAAACATGGTATGCATTGTCTTTCGGTAATTTGATATTAGCAGGGAATGTAGTCAGTGACAGGCTAAGAATTCAGTGGGAAACTCCTCCCACTCCTCTCCACCTTAGCAGAGCAAACACTGGAGATTGGGTTGCCTCCTCTCTAGCACTCACTCTCCTAAAGTGGAAAGAGGTAGGAAGAGCTTCCCCTGAAATCCTAACTTGTCACATGCTATGCGGTGTGCAAGTTTGTGTCCTTTTGCAGGGGTTGTGGTGTGGTCGGAACGCCATGCTCCGATTGACTGTGACTGAAGAATAGTGGGTAGACCTCAAAGCAGGCTGCCTCGAGATTACCCACTGTCCTTCAATCAGAGCGTTCTGACATCCCCACAACCCCTGCAAATGAAGCGCACAAGCTTGCGCTCCATGTAGTACTTAACCTAATCGGCTTGCCAGTTTTCTAAACGGATAACTTGGAAAAATACATGTTTCTCAATAAGAATTATGTATACTGCAATATATACTTCGTGTCACTGGTTGTGTGCAGTGCAGGCAAAGGCAACACTAGGCACAGAGAAACTGTGAGCACGAAGGCGGGACGGGTGAGGACAATAGAGGGTAAGGGGGGAAAAGATTAGGGATGAGCCGAGGTTTCTCTTGTCTGCATCAGCCTTCCTAGTACTTGCCCCTTCTCCCCTTGCTTGGTGCTGCCTTCACACGTGTGCCACGCGGAGTATAGGTAGTGAATAAAATTCAAGGTGACTTGTCGTTTCTATGTGTCTGTTTGTTGTTTAATTTTTTATGTCATACTCCACACTACTCGATAAATTAGATATTGTATTTATCTTGATGTTACATTTTACCTAGTCTCAATTGTTTAATAGTCGGAATGTCATCCTTTAATCTGGCTGCTGCATATTCACAGTTGGAGCACCGCCTTAGAAAATACACTTGGATATTAAGAAATCGCCCAGTAGCCACAAAAGGAAAAGCGAGGCAAAATCCTGAAGAAACTGAATGTCTCATATCTAAATAATAAGAAAAGTGTGCCGAAATTGACAGAAACAGAAAATGCAAAGTTCCAGTTTCAGTGTATGAAAATAATTTAATGTTAGTCTAGCAGGGTGAACAATAAGCATATTAAAATTTTTTTCAATGTCCACTTGTTTTTTTTTTTTTTTGTTAAACCCTTAACGTAAATTACCGAAAATGCACTCTTGTTGCAGTGAGTGCCCATCCTCTACTTGCAAAATGCTTGAAAAATAAACAAAGGACATATCAAGCACCCGTCTCTGTAAACTTTAGTGCCCACAGATTGAACCGAGGTGCTCCTCCGTCTCGGACGCTTCAAGTGCATTGGTGCGAAGCGTTAAAGCCTAGCGGGAGAGCCCCTGTATTAGGCAAATTCGATGGAAGAAGAGCAGCTGTTCTAGAAATTCGGGCTTCTGCTGGCGCCCTATAATACCATTCTGTCATGCACCCCTCCCCATTTTTAGCTGTCGAACTTGGCAAGAAAATATTATTTTGCTGTAATCTTGAATGTTTGGCACGTGCTTATTCAGTTGACAAGCAAGTACTTTTTGGCACATGCTTTACAGATTGAGCGTGGTAGTAGTTGACCAAATGTACCATTAAACATGGTGCACCTGAAGGAAGGTACACAAGGACGAGACGGAGGCAGTCAGTGGACCTGAATGTGGCTGACGAATTATTCTGTGCGAACTCCCAAGCGAAAGAGCTAAGGACATTGCACACTTTGTGGCATCCTTGGAGTGAGGGGTTGCGGTGACATCAGAACAACACCGAGCTCTAATTGGCTCTGGTTGGAAGGATAGTGGGTAGACCTCGATGCTAAATGCCTTGACATACCCGCCAAGTACGGAAAAACCAAATCCGGGAGAATTTCTAAGGGGGGGAGGGGGTTTAAAAAGAAATATTTACAACAAATGTACATGAAGACCACTTCATTACATTTATATTACACTGCTCATGCTAGCGAGATACAGCTGGGCCTCGCTATCATTGCAGCCGTTTGTTGCGACGGCAAAAACTCCTTGTTTACGTGCAGGGAGAAAAGGGGGGGGGGGGGGGGGGGGAATTTGCATTCTCCGGGAGATTTTTTGTCAATTGTAGAACCCTAAAAATAGGTTAAAAATTCGGAAGTCTCCCGGGCAATACGGGAAACTTGGCAAGTATGCCTTGAGGTCTACCTATATTTTTTTTCAATCGACCATTAAGAGCTGGGCGTCCTGACATCATCACAACACCTAAACAAGAAACAGACGAACTTGCGCTCCGCGTAGTAAGGAAGGTTCCCATTGGTTCTTGTTTATGGCCTGTGTAGACATGTTTTACAATCATGTTTCCATCTGAACTTTCTAAAAAATGTGATAGTATAGGGTGATTCACATTATGTACTTTGTAACCATGGTAGAGATGGTCATCTGTTTCAGTCGGTGATTTGCGTTCCCAGCGTCAGATGCAATATTTTTTACTGTTACCTGCTCTCCAGTCCGATGTTGTCGACAATAATTTCTGAACTTATCACTCCACACATTCTGCAAAGCACCAGGCTCTGAGACACATTTTGGGGAAAACAATTTGGCAGTCAGGTGTCTGCGAAATGGGTGGATAATATTGACCTGGGACCAGCTTTTGCAAGATGCTGGTTTTCAGCAACAGAACACTTACCAGCCTGCCTCATGTGCAATGAGGGCACTCGCCCCTGGCTGACCTTTTTGTTAAAACAGGAGGAATGTCGACACACATGGGTCTTGTGACTGTCTTTCTTCGTAAGCTTGAACTGTGAAAATGGTTGTTCGTTAAGACAGAATACTGTGCATTTGACACCATACAACGATTTGCATTATTTTTCCTGGGTTCTCACAACAACAAAAAAATCCTAGATATATAAGCCTTTTACACTAAGTACTAGTATGCGGTGCACGACTTCAGAGGCTTCCTGTGTTATCTATGGACGACCTAAATTGCTCAAGTTAGTCCCAGTCGGCCTCCACCAAGTCGATGATGCATGAGTGGCACTTGCAACCAGCATCACCACAAATTCGCGAACCAGATCAAAGTCTACATAATGATGCCAGTTAAATTCCGAGGTATGTATATGTGCGTATACTACAACTTTTGTGCAATGCTTTTAGAATAAATAAGCAGAAGAAAGAGACAACAGATTTTCTGCTGCTGTCAGCACATCTTTATTTTCATAAATCCAAGGTTTGAAAAGATCACTTGTTTACATATACATACCTTACTGTATACAAAATTTTTTACTCTGTACATGAAGAAAAATTAAATCGGATGTAAAAATTATTTTCACTTACTATTAGTTGAAGCAATAATGAAACTTTCAGTTTATTGTACATGCGAGCTCGAGCAAACTACACAGTGCAGGACAAGCTATGCTCGCACACAGGCCTGCAAAACCTCAGTAAACACATGAACTCTCAAGTTACTCTATGCCAGAGGAGGGATGTCTGAAAACAAAAAATTCACTTGCCCATATTTAGATTTACATAGTTATTATAAAAAGCCCCTGCATGGAACACTAAGGTCATACCACATATTTGGAAACTACCATAATAAAACTAGTTTTACAGCACCCTTACACAAAATATAGACTAGTTGCACGGACAAGTTTCCTTTCATGGAACAAAGAGGAACAGACAAATGGGTTCCATACCTTCTTGCTTTCACATCAAGGTGCCAAAATTGCATGTTGCAATATTTGTAGGGACATTAGGAAGTTCTGTTTATTTTGTAACAAGGTTGCAACCAAAAAGTAGTGATGCGAGCTCCATAAAATGCTAAGAAAAGTAATATTGACAGATGGCAATATCGATAAAAAGAAAATGTATGAAGACTTGTTTGCACAATAGATTGATAGTCACATTGTGATCAACACTGTAGGCATATATATACATTTCCTTTGTGTTTTATTTTGTATTTTGAAGTATTGAACATTTAACATCTCATGTACAATGTCAGCTCTCTTGTTTCACTAATATTTGATGGGGTTAAAACAAGAGTGAAGCCTTAAACGTACAACTTTCCCAAGAATGCGTCATCTGCGGAAGGATGTTCGAATGATAGGCTTCTATACTAAGAAATGAAAGGTACTGCATTTAAAAGGAGCATGTCATCTGAAAAAATGCAATGAAAAGGCTGGGTTAAGAACTAACCTCAGAAGACGCGAGTGCTCTACCTAACCGATTGAACAGTGTACAGCGATCAGATAACTTGAATCTAATGACTGACGCAGAAGTAGGACCAGCTCACCTGATGAACAAAGCCCAAAGATCATCAGTGGAAGAAATAACTCCACTAAAGCAGTGGTAGTCAGCATTCCCCCATTATCCCGAAGGAATGAAGGAGGCTTGAATTCAGACAATTAAGAGAAGAGTGTTTAAAGGTTGGTGCTTTCAAAAACAATGTACAAAACCGAATGCATACTGCTCCTTGACGACAAAAAAGTAAAGCTATCACCTGCCTCATTGGAAACCTGTCATACGATAAAGGTCCAATGGCCATCGGCCTACTGATCAGATCGAAAGGCTACTAGGGGTTGATA